GTAATTTAAGTACCAGATGAAACAACTGCTATAATCTCTGTACTCAGTCTAGCAAAAAGCTTCTGTTACCTTTACCATAAGCTTACAGAGACAAAGCACCAGCAAAGACTGTAAGCATAAATAAAAAAATGTCTAGTTCAGGGCAAAAAAACAGTGTCTAAGTGAAGGTAGTTGTAACTTCGGGGGATTTATACCATCTGATGGCATGAAATGAGCTCAAGAAGCCACCATCTTTAGGCAGTTTGGGTTTGCGGTCTTTGGTGGAAACTAATGAGACACTGCAAGGTACTTGGTTATGGAGGTGTATGATAGAGGAGGGAGCATTTTGGAGAAGGATCATTGCAGCTAAATTTGATATTAATGAGAGAGGGTGATTTACCATAATGGGGTCAAGACCTCATGGAAAGAGTGTGTAGAAAAAGATCGGGGCAGATCAAGAAAAGTTCCAAGCACGCATCAGGTGGAAGATTGGGGGGGGGGGGACAAAGTCAAATATTGGGACGATAAGTTGATGGAAGGAGGTATACTCAGGACTCAATATCCTCAGATCTTCGCTATAGCTCAGTAGGAAGATGTAAAGATTAGTGATTCTTTCATGGAAGTGAGAGGGGAGAGAAGGAACAGCATGTTTTTGTTTCAAGAAATTTGAATGGTTGGGGGATAGATGAATATGAGAAGTTGTTAAGTACTCTTTCACTCGTGACTTTGGATGGTAGCAATGATAACCCTTAATAGAGTTTTACTAAGAATGAGTCTTTCACGGGCAAGTCTTACTACAAGCAGTTGTTCAGGCATGAGGAAAATGGTATTAGATTCCTAAACAGACAAATCTTAAAGGCAAGAGTTCCACCCTATGTTTTGTTTTTTTACATGGGAGGCCAACAGGGAATGCATTTTAACAATTGATAAGTTGACGAGACGGGACCAAATTTTGGTGAATGCTTGTTATCTTTACAAGAAAGAAGGAGCAATATAACCACGTATTGCTCTAGCGTTGAATGGTTCACGAATTTTGGACCATGGTTTATGGGCTTTTGGACATTAGTTGGGTGATAGCTGGATCTGTGAGAGATGAAATTCGGGCGTGGATGGGCATCAGGGGATGGAAGAAATAAGCGGATTTAATACCACTTACTATATTTTGGCGAGTGTGGAAGGAGAGGAATTAAAGGGCTTTTGATGAGGTAGATGATGTGAATGAGTTTGACGTACTTAAGAATAGATTGTTACAGATACTTGATTTTTTGTTATTGGTCATTCTCCAAAGTCGATGAAGGATTTAGGGGACCTTATTGGCACTTTGATAAGCATATAAATTCTTTTGTATATTGGCTGACACTCCCTTAGTGCCCATATTAATACTATATGTTACACTTTTTATTTTAAAAAAAAAAATCGGGGGATTTATACCATATCTTTCTCAATGTCCAGCTTGTGTATTGATTGGATGATCATAAGATCTTGGACCTCCAGTAGTTTGAGTTATCCAGGGCACAATACTCTTCATTGCTTGTTAGTTTTTTGTCCTCTTAAGGTTAACTATAAAATGCCTCCTTCATCACCTCGTGGTTCGCAATGTCAAGTCATTGTCTGTCAGCAGGCATATAGTCCATGTTAAATAAAACACTTGATATTGACACTCTTTTAGTGAAACACATAACTCTTAAGGTTCCTCAAGTTGCTAGGTAGAGTTGGACTCTCAATTGCACCAAAAAAAAAAAACTTTTTGTGCTTAAAACAGCGAATAATTAATGCGAGTTAGGTGCATTGATGAGGTTTATTTTTTATGCTTGTTGCTAGTAGATGATTTTCTCGTTTGAACAGCAAGAACTGCAACCTAGATATTACTAATACTTTTTCAGAGAAAAGGAAGACATTTTTTTAGCAAAAAATAAAAGAAGATATCCTTGTATGTTTATTTTATTGGTCATTTCAATATTGGTCCCTTTGTCTGGAATGGTACCTTGGCATGAGAAATAGTTAGAGCCTCAAGAATATGATGGCATATGTTCCTTAATGTTAAAGGTGCAGAAAGTTAGACCATTTGGTTTCCTATACAATGTCATATTGGTACTAAGTAATTCAAGAAGCCATTTCCTGCCTTCATTAGCCAACTTGGCAGGCATGTATTCCGTTACAGATGGATATCAAGGACTCAAGACTTGTTTATCTTGTTTTTGTAATAGAAAATACTTGGTCTTTAACACAATGTCTGGATTGGAGGGAAGTGGAAGGAAAAGAAATCAAATAAAGAGATACTCTCTTTTCACTTGTTTGACAAAAAATAATAATTAGTAAAAGAAAGGGGGAGAGATGACGAGTGTCCTTTCTTTTTCCCTTAAAACTCTTGACTTTTTCCATTCTTTTTAATTGAGGGAAAGAAAGGGAAAGGAAAGGCTTAAACAATTTTGAAGAAAACATTTCTATTTATTCTTACTAACTAGTAGTTAATATAACTAATCATTTCATTAACTTTATAAAGATAAACAAATAAAATCCAATAATCTTTTGTGTTGTTTTACTTTTAAAAATTTTAGTTATCTAGGCAAGAAAAATATTTTTCATTTTTTGTTTCTATAGAAACCATTATTTTCCTTAGCTAATTTCTAAACAAACATAGTGTAATGTTAACTTCATATGAGTACTAATCGCTTCTTGAATATGAACGGGATCAATCACTAATTATTTAATCACTTTTGTTAGTCCTGTTAATTATCTTTTGTGGTTTAGAGAACTTTCTACCTGTGCATCATAATCAGGAAATTTTATATACATTTTGTCATGTTTTATTCAAACATTATTTTTTGTTCTGTTAATTCTATAGGCAAGTGATAAGTTACCTGTTTTTGTTTTGTTCAATCTTTTTTGACGGAGGTCAATGAGGGGGATAGTTTATGCTTCTTGTAGTTAGCTGCAAAATTGCTATAACCATGAAAAGAACTAAAACAATGTGTTGAATGACAGAAAGATGGGCCCGGAGCACCAGGAGGACAATCCTGGACAGTGCAATGGCTGAAGTTTGATAATTCCTACTTCAAGGTTTGAACTTAACAGATAGGCCATTTTCATAATTGATTTCTCCGTTTCTGATTGCAAATTGTTTCCTTTTTTTTTTTCCTACAGGAGATTAAAGAAAAGAGGGATGAAGATCTGCTTGCATTGCCAACTGATGCTGTTCTCTTTGATGACCCTTCATTCAAGGTTGGGAAAACTTTTAAATCACAGAGAAATATGGAAACATATTTTTTGGAAGCTAAATGTTATGTTGTCTGCAGGTGTATGCCGAGAAATATGCTGAAGATCAGGATGCATTCTTCAAGGACTATGCTGAAGCCCATGCTAAGCTCAGCACCCTTGGGGCCAAGTTTGATCCTCCAGAGGTTTGTAAACTGTAGTTCTTGTGTCTTGTGGTTTGTGGATGATGCCCATGAAGTGCTACCCAAACTACTTAATCTATTAGTTAATTTACTTAGAACTGATATTTGGAAAAAACTGTTTTTGTAGAATAGATTTGAAAATGTATAGTTGTTCAATCAATGAAAATTCAACTCCAGATGAATCCAAGTAAAACTGAAAGATAATCGAATTTCAGTTCCACTTGGAATTTACTTGGAGTTGAACTCTTTTCTTTAAATTTTCATTCTCTTATGATAGAGCTAAAAATATAATTCTTAATGAATTCAACAGAAATAGTTTAATTGTTCCAAACATACTCTAGAAGAGAAAGAAAAAATTGTCCATAAAATTGTACATAACTCAAGTGTGACCCAACTTGGTCTATTGTATATCCTTTTTCATTTGTCTAAAACTTGAGAAGACATGAATCATCTTCAAACATTTGTTACTAGTGTATAAAAAAAACAAGTACTATGAGTGGTTAATGTATATAATAACAATTGTGGAAGTGTATTACTGGCATCTCAATGGTAGAAATGAGTTCACATTTCTAGTGCTAAAAACTTGAAGGTGTAATATTTTAGGGTACTATTAATTATTTATGTTAACTGCACATCAAGGCATCTAAAGTAAATATATCACCTTCCTAAAAAAAAGCAAAAAATAAATAAACAAACAAAGCCACTTGGCATAGTTTTTGAGGAAGTTTGTTAATTTATTTTTTTTCTGGAATTTGTTAATTTCTTTTAACTGTAAGTCAAGGATCGATTAGTTGAATTGGATGGTTGCATCTGCCAGTAAATAAGTAGTCAGTTTTTTCTCTTTCGATTTGCTATTAGCAGTCTAATTGCTCATTAGCATTGTTCTTGTCAATATATATGATGTTAGAAACGTCAATATATATGATGTTAGAAACATGTCTTGTTTTCGTCTATTGAGGTAACAGCCCCAAAATTATGACAGTTTTTCTTCCTAACTTATAAATTTGCACGATTAGATTCAACTTAAGTGAATTTTGAAATTGGGGGCATGAAAAACTGACTGTTTGATTTGGTGGTTCAGGGTATTGTACTAGATGATGGTCCTACCAAAGCTGCACCAGAAAAGTTTGTGGCAGCAAAGTACTCATCTGGAAAGGTTGTAATTAACAACTTGTTTCATAATATCTTTCCAGTTATTGATTCTGAATGGTTCCTTACATTTTTCTACCTGAAAGATTTCTGTGGAGGAAACGACGTTTGTGCAAAATGTTCATCTTCTTTACTCTTCATGGTTTCCTGCAGGATTAAGAAACAACTTTGTTTTCATGTGCCGTGTCTTTAAATAAATCAGGATGAGGCTATTTTCAAATCCTGTGATTCACATCTAAAACTTGGAAGTCTAAATGAACAAGAAAGGAATAAAATTCAACGAGTGTTCCCTATTTGAATTGCAGAGAGAGCTGTCAGAAGCAATGAAACAGAAGATACGGGCAGAGTATGAAGCAATTGGTGGAAGCCCAGATAAGCCTCTGCAGTCCAACTATTTTCTAAATATTATGATAATCATTGCTGTTTTGGCCTTATTGACATCTCTTCTTGGGGATAACTCCGGTTTTTGAGCTTCATAGAAAAAATATTATTGCTTCCTTTTGGATCATTAAACCATGATATGGCATGCAACAACTGATTTATGCAATTGATAAAATTGATAACCTCAGGGTTAATTTTTTTTCCAAGGGGAACCGTGTAGCATCTGCTTCTCTATTTTTTATCTGGTTAATAGGTTCTAATGCAATAGCTCAGCATTTCCTTATATGAAGCTGGAATTTGGAACCTTGATTTGAGTATCAATGATCTGTCGGTGGCAACAGTATTGACTTTCTCCCTTTCTCCTGTTCTTTAAGTTCACCTGTAAGCGATCTTTCGAACACAGTCCATAGCTCACTGCACATATTTAATTTGGTATGTGTTCAATCCTTGACAAAAGATACCCTGCAGTTGAGCAAAACGTCGGGAAGGAGGACTTGATTTTTATCTTTTGGTCGGGAGATGGGGGTGCGGGGGGGAGGGGCGGGGGCCCGGTTGGGAGGGAGGAGAGAGGGGACCAAGCTGAACTCATAGGGCAATTGCTCAGAAGAAGCTCCCGGATTTTGCATGGAGACTTACTGATTAGAGAGACCACCATCTGGCCTTACTCCTAAAGCTAAGACCAGCCAGGGCATCAGCACACACGTTGCAGTCTCTCATTGAATGGCAAATGTTTGCGTGCTCCAAGCAATCCATACTCGTAAAGCTAAGATCAGCCAGGGCATCAGCACACATGTTGCAGTCTCTCATTGAATGGAAAATGTTCGCATGCTCCAAACAAT